CACTCTCTGCCATAACATACAAATCCCTCTGCGTACTCTTGTCTCATCTCCCCAGTTTAACCTTTAGATTGTAAGCTCACGGGCAGGGTCCTCTACCTGTTGTATCGGTCTGTTCTTATTGTGTTGTCTTTCCCAATTGTACAGCGCTGCAGAATATGTTGGCGCTTTATAAATGCCAGGAATAAATAAATATATTATATATATTTAGTAGCACACGGAAAGGTCCATATTCACTACTTTTGGTTCATATGATTCGTTTCCCAAATCAGTTTTTCAGTGCCGAAATTCCATCCAGCTGGAGGTCCAAACACACCAGTAGGAACCCCACTAAAACACCAGGGAAGTTGACTGTTACCTTTTTTGGCAGAATGGGGGCAAGTAAAAATGTGTTGTTGTTGTTGGTTTTTTTTGTTTATTGCTTAGTACAAAAAAAAAGAATTTATAAAATACATTAATAAGACTGTACTTAGTCTGGCAGCATGCTTCATAGTGGGTCTGGGAAAACATCTCCAGAAGGGAATTAGACACATGCAGAACTGACATAAGGGGAACATTCCTTCAAGGTATACGATATTCCTATTGGATGACACAGTAACAGCAGCAGTGGCGTCACTAGGGGGTGGCCAGAGGGGGCCCAGCACCCCCCCCCCCCAACATCATGTAGTGCCACTCCTTATGCCCCCCAATTGAAATTGAAGTCGGGAGCACGAGTCTCCCTTCACAAGCTGCAGCAGCACTGTCACTCATCCTTTTCCCACGTGTGGCCAGAGGAGGCACTGTGCTGGGAAGACTTCCTCCTGGGTCATAGAGAGCAGCACAGGGGAGACAGGGAGAGGAATTCAGCTCTGCACAGAGGCATCCAGGCAGCTGCTGGTAAGTGTGAGTCAGTGTGTATGGGTCAGTCTCTGTGTGTAGGGGGTGTCAGTCTGTGTATGGGTCAGTCTGTGTGTGTGTGTGTATGTGTATGTGTGTATGCGTCAGTCTGTGTGTGGGGGAGTCAGTCTGTGTGTAGGGGTTCAGTCTGTGTGTGTATGGGTGTGTGGGGGTTAGGGGTTCAGTCTGTGTGTGGAGGGAGTCAGTCTGTGTATGTTTGGGTCAGTCTTTGTGTGTTTATGGGTCAGTCTGTATATGTGTATGAGTAAGTCTGTGGATTTGTATGGGTCAGTCTGTGTAAGTGCTTAAGCTCCAAGAGAGATACCTCTCATCTTGTGACCTCCCCTGTACCCGATGGATAGGCAGCCTTCTCAACCACCACAGCTCTGATTGTGCCACCCCCAGGGATGTGTCGGGCGGCAAAAAACGCCACCCCCAAATGCCCAGGCAAATACCTTGCTTGCCTCGTTTTATGGGAACCCAAGAGCTGGCCAGCTGGCCACCTTTGGGCTCCCCCGGGGCAGGTGGGCGGTTGTTTCCCGGGCGGGCGGGCAGTCACACTAAGCTATCAGCGAGGGAGTACTTTCCCCTGAGCTTTGTGCTCAGCTCCCTTGCGCGACCCGCAGTAATGCCAGAGCCGAAATATGACATCATATTCCTGCTCCCGGCATCTCTCTGCGGGTTGCGCAAGGGAGCTGAGCACAGAGCTCAGGGGAACATGCTCCCTTGCTGACAGCTTAGTGTGACTGCCCAGGAAACAACTGCCCGCCTGCACGTCTGGCCGCCTCCCTGAACAGCAGCCCCACTGGACCCCAGGTGAAAAATCCACCCAGCTATCCCAAAAGTAGGGAGGCTGGGTGGATTTCAATTTAAAAAAAATAATAATAATAATTGTGAGTGGGGAAAATTGTGTGTATGTGTGTGTGTGTGTCAGTAAATGTGTGTGTGTGTGTGTGTGTGTGTGTGTGTCAGTGAATGTGAGTGTGTGTCAGTGAATGTGAGTGTGTGTGTCAGTAAATGTGTGTGTGTGTGTCAGTGAATGTGTGTGTGTGTGTGTTAGTAAATGTGTGTGTGTGTGTCAGTAAATGTGTGTGTGCCAGTGAATGTGTGTGTATGTGTCAGTGAATGTGTGTGTGTGTGTCAGTAAATGTGTGTGTGTGTGTCAGTGAATGTGTGTGTGCCAGTGAATGTGTGTGTATGTGTCAGTGAATGTGTGTGTGTGTGTCAGTGAATGTGAGTGTGTGTCAGTGAGTGCGTGTGTCTGTCAGTGAGCGTGTGCGTCTATCAGTGAGTCTGTCAGTGAGTGTGTGTATGTCATTGTTTGTCAGTGTATATGAGCATGTGTGTCAGTCAGTGAGTGTATGCATTTATCAGTGAGAGTGTGCGTCTGTAAGTGAGTGAGCGTCTGTCAGTCAAAGTGCGGCCTTAACAGGAAGGGGTGGGGAAAATTTAAATTGGGGGGGTGCCCGAGCACCATCCTGCCTAGGGCAGCACAAATCCTAACTACACCACTGGCCACCTCTCCCTGCAAGGTAAGATCAGGGAAATATTAAGGGCTGCACTCACCTGAACATGCATACATTATAAGGTGCTGCAGGGGCCAAAATACACAACATACAAAATACACAATCCAGCGCACTCGCTTATTCATTAAACAATGATTTCACATCTTACAGATTGTAAAAGTTTTATTTAAAAACACCTCACCTAGGCATAAAATAATGGGGGTTTAGTTGCATTACATGATCATATATTGCATAAGCCTGCCACAATGTCAATATACCCCATTCTTGGCAGATCCTACTCTAGCAGCCTAATGCTTGCTCTTATGAGATTAATCCACTTACTTGGAAAATACTTCCTCCTGGGGCTCTCTGCAGTACAAGGCTAAATAGGGTCCTGGAATGAGGCACCTGTGACAGGGAGGGGTGCAAAACCAAGGAGTTGGCCTGGACTCCCAAATATAGAAATGAAACCAGCGGGCTGCACTCACCTGAACATGCATACATTAATAAGATGCCTAGGCGAGGTGTTTTTAAATAAAACTATTACAATCTATAAGATTTGAAATCATTGTTTAGTGAATAAGCAAGTGCGCTGCATTGTGTATTTTGTATGTTGCCCAAGCAGCACCCTATAATGTATACATGTTCAGCAGCACCCTATAATGTATGCATGTATGCATGTTCAGGCGAGTGCAGCCCTCTTGGTTTTAATATATATAAATGTTTATATTAAACCATAAATCCAGAAAAAACCCTCTCCCAAATTTGTTCTAGATATGAAGTTATGAAGTTAAGAACTGTACATTACATTACTGTAAAACTTATTTTTTTTCTGAAAAGCAGTTGAATGGTCAGTGTTTTTTTTATTTGCTCCTCTTGAGAAAATGACTGCATCTAAATTTAGATATAAGAATTCTAGCTTGTATGGTGCAGTTCACGGTCAATTAAAATAAACATGGCAATATTACCTTTCTCATAGTCTTGAAGAATAGCCAACAACAGTTTCCTGCTGGACAGAGCAACGTGCATTTGCATATAAACAGATATTTTGATTGAATGGAAACCAAAATACTTTATTTTTGCATACTTTCTAGTTCGAATGCAGCATTATAAAAAAAATGGGCAATCCCATCCCTACCCCCCTGTGTTTTAATGACTTTTATTAAAAAAAAAATTTTATTACGTTGTGTTAAGTTTTTGGTATCTCTCTCATACAAATCAATAAAATACAGATACAAAAAAAATGAGCATCTTGCTTAAAGTAACATTGTAGGCACCATAACCACTTCAGCTCATTGAAGTGCCTATCAGTGCACCAAGCTTTACAGTTCAGATCATCTTTTTCTTTCATGCTAATCTACACTATTTAGCCTTGCCCTTATAACACTATAAGCTCCATAGCAACATGCCAATTCACACTGTCTTCATAAATTACGTTATGCATTATCACTCATGACTGCATCATTTTCTAAAGAAACTGTTTCTTTTAACATTGTGCCAAACAAGTGTGTCATAACTTATAATTCATAACCAAGTGCCTAGTCTTACTGCCTTCACACATTACACTATACTGCCCTCCCATACTTTCCATGTGTCCCTAATTAGGAGGGATAGTCCTTATTTTGGGCCAAAGTCCCTCCTCTTAATCCTAATGTCCCTCTTTTCCAGAAACTCAATATTTTTGGTGTGTCTGAGTGTGTAACAGAGTTCTAAAGCAATAAGACATCAAATAAGATACATTGTTCTTCACCTAAATTACAGTTTATCTCAATACATCACTTAAACATTTCTCAGAAATCAGGGGGCCACACTCTTATTCAGACCCCCAAATTTATATAAAGTGTCCCTCTTTCTCCATTTAAAAAATGTTGATGGCAATCCTTTCTTTTAACTGTTTTTGTTTGCCAGAAAATACGATTCTTACAGCATTGTGCGCAGTTTTACAGGACATAGCAACATACGTTTCACAATGCATAACAGACTACATTAACAAAGTCTGCAAAAACCTTGTATTGTCTTTTTACTCAAAAGCCACGGACATGGTAAATGTGGAGACGTTGTGACAAAAAGGTCATGTTCAAGAATATAACTGAATTCCAATGTTTTTTGCCTAAAACCTTTTCTGCACATGCCAGTCTCTACAGTTTGAACCCCAAAATGTTTGATCTGGAATAATCAGATGAGATGTTCTGCCCCCCATAATGGGGGTGGCGGGAGGGAGAGGGAGAGGGGTAGGTGACTGACTGGAAGCACACCAAGTAAAATTTCACAAGGGTCAATGGTCAGGAATCTAAAGTGAATCCAATAAAGTTACAAATTTAAATTTCAAACCAAAACAATCAAATCAGAAAAATTTTAAGTCAGAAATGTTTTCAGTTTGGCTACAACAGCCTAACATGATTTTAAATTTACTTTGAATTTCCAAACTGTACGTATTAGTCGATATAAGATTAAAAAAAATTAGATATATAAATAAAATGATCAGTGTATCTTAAAAGATGGAAACATACAGAAAATATATACAATGTTGTGTGTCATATCCCCACTGTTTATCATGTGCAATCTAGCAACTCTGATGTTCATAGAACTCCTGGTGGCCAATGTTTTCATTGCAACATGTAGTATTACAACAGCAGGTCTTATTTCACACCCACCTGGATTAAAGACCCAGAAGCAGAAGATTTTGAATATGCTGATATTCTTGAAGGAGGCATAACAGCTTTACACTTACCCACAGAGACTGAGGCAAGGTGTGACATTCGAAAAGGGCAATATTTCCAGGAGGTAAGGGATACAAGATGTTATACATGTAATATATATAATACTTCCTTAATTCAATATAACAGCGGAGACAATGTGGCAAAAACATTCTGAAAATGTTCATTTGTTCACATGTTTAAAAACCCATTAAATAATGCAGTAATGCCATATAAAGAGTTAACAGGGGTGCAGTAGGAAAATACTGCTAAACATGTGTGTCTCAGAGACCACCGTTAATGTTTTTGGCTTTTCCAGAAGGCAAGCAGGCACGCAAAGAGAGTAGAGGGAGAAGAGGCACACAACATGGGCTTGGGAAAGCAAAATAGAGACACACAGAGGGGCTGGAGAGAAAAAATGAGACACAGAAAGGCTCGGGAGAGAAAGAGACACACAAAGAGGCTGAGGGTTAGGAGAAAGACAGAGAGACTTAGGGGGAGAAAAAGACACACAGAGGGTATAGGGGAGCAAAGGGCATACAGAAGGGCAAAGGGGAAAGAGACACATAGGCGGCAAAGGGGAAAGAGACATGGTGCTGGAAGGGCGGAGCTTGACCTTGCTGCGGATCAGACATATGAAACACGAGCACCCAACTAGTTGGCTGATCTGGTGGAGCTGCTAAAGTAGGCTACGTTGGTTGGGGAATCACTGATGAACCATAATAATCCTTATTCGTGACATATTTCTCCCGGGAACCTGATAAAACTTGGTGCGGCCTGTTGCAGATTGAGCTGTGGAGAGGTGGCCGATCTTCCTTCTCTTTATTTTTCAACACTGAAACACTGCATTCCTACCCTTCCCACTGGCCCAGTGGGGGATATCCTGGTCTCCACTGGACTGTTTCCAGCAGCTTTAACAATTTTGAGCTCCTGCTCTGAAATGCCATCATAACTCCTCTCAACTACTTACCTCTACTACGCTAGATGGGGGCTATATCCCTGCATGACAAATGGAGCATTGGCTTGTTTTTGCTGCCTCCACTCATTCACTTACTAACCAGGGAAGGCCTGAATCTGATACCAGCAACTCCATCTAGCACAAGTGAGTGAACACTCATGAAGCTGGAAGCAATTTTTGAGCATTTCTGGGCAAACCTTGAAACATGAACGGCAGTGGCAACATCTGAACCCCTGACATGTGATCAGAGGAGCAAGTAGTGGGAGGAGAGTCCACCACTATGCACAGCACTTGTGGAAGCACTTGTTAATTATTTAATTATCCCAGCTGAGCTGAAGGCCTCTGGGGTTCGGCCCCGCACATCGCCCACACTGGCAGTGTGGATTGGATTGATTGACCATCAGGACCTCTTGCACTCCCCTAAACTGGATGGACTTGGACTGGCCATGGCCCAGAGATGCAGTCCTACACATCAGCCTAGGGGAAAAAGAGACACACAGCAGGGCTGGGGAAGGGGACAAATAGATCTGCAATTGAGCTCAGGGGAGCAAGAGACACACAAAGGGGATAGGGAAGAATGAGACACACAAAGGGACTGCAGGGAAATAAAAGAAACACAAATGGGGGAATAAAACACACACAGGGGGTCGTAAGAGACAAACAATGGAAGAAGAGTAGCGTGAAAACTTTTGAAGCAGCCATGCCATGTTATTTTTAACTGTGCTTAAGAGCAATTTTTTTTTTACAAAAAAATCATAAAATCCAGCTCTTTGTAGGGTAAGTATAAAAGTATTTTACAAGTTTTTTTGTTTTTGTTCTTTAAGTTATTGATGATTTCCACTTTTATAATACATATTAGAGGTGGGGAGGGTAAGTAGGTACTTGGGCAAGCTCTTCTGATATTGTTAATGCATACATTCCTACTTTAGCAGAGAGCATTATTATTATTATTTATAAAGCGCTAACAAATTCCACAGCACTGTACTTACAGACACGTAATTGTAACCAGATGAGTTTGACGCACAAGAACAGAGGGGTTGAGGGTCCAGCTCAATGAGCTTACATGCTGGAGGGTGTGGGATATAGTGACACAAACAGTAACGGTAGGGGTAGAAAAGTAGGTTGCTAGAAAATATTCAGTGGGGGCTTAGTGTTTTGTTTTAGTTTTTTTTGACAGTTGCAGAAGAGGAATCAGGGTGCGGGGAG